CTACCCAGATGTCTTGTGGGGTTTAAGTGTCATTAGATCGTTATTATTTACCTCTGTGGGGTAATCCTGTTGCTTAAAGATGGTTGTTAAGGGCATGATTCTGAACCCCAGGCCAGGTGAGAGACACAGGTTTGAAGCCTGTCAAGCACTGCTTCAGTTGACCTAATGTGAACGTAAACAGTGGGAATTGTATTGAGAATTGTTTGATTGACCAGCATAACATTCATAAGTGATTGCTCTAAAACTACACAGAAAGCCTGGCTTCTCCCATAAAATTGCCAAAACAAGTGGCAGAAATGAGTTTCCTTTGCATGGTGTCTGGACTCAGCCTTAGGATGAGGAGCTTGGACATCCAGGAGGGATTCAGAGTAAAGCCACTGCTCCTCCACATCAAACAGAGCCAGCTGAGGTGGTCAACCCTCTATCTAGGATGCCTCATGGATGACTTTCTGGGGAGGTGCTTTGGCCATGTCCAGCTGGGAGGAGACCCTAGGGCAGACGTAAAATCTCTCCAGAGTGTACTATCTCTCGGCTGGCCTATGAATATCTTGGTGTCTCCCTGGAGGAGCTTACCAGTCACCACCTCCAGCTTCACTAGGGGAATCCCACAGTGTTCCTAGGCCAGCTGAGAGACATAATCTCACCAGTGTCTCCTGAGTCTGCCCTGGGGTCTCCTCCTGGTTGGAAATGCCCAAAGCATCTCCCCGGAGAGGTGTCCAGGAGCCATCCTACATAGATGCCCGAACCACCTCAACTGGCTCTTTTCGATGCAGAGGAGCTACTTTGAGGCCCTCCTGAATGTCTGAGCTCCTCACTCTATATCTAAGGCTGAGCACAGACACACTGCAAAGGAAATTCATATTTGCCACTTATATCTGTGATCTCATTCCTTCAGTCACTACCCAAAGCTTGTGTCCATCGATGAGGGTAAGAATGTAGATGGACTAGTGAATTGATAGCTTTGCCTTTCGCCTGGGCTCACTTTATACCATGACAGAACGGTACAGCGTCTGCATTATTGTTGATGCTGTCTGTTGATCTCCAGCTCCTTTCCAAACCAGACCCCATCCGCTCCTTTGCTACACCTAGAAATTCTGTCCATAAATGTTATGAATAGAATCAATGACAAAAGGCACCCACACTCACCGGGAATGAGACTGACTTACTACTAGTGATGTGAGCCAAACTCTGTAGCTGACCCCGTACTCCATACTCTTGAAGCACACCCTGCAGGACCTCCCAAGTGGTATGCTTTTTCCAAGTTCCCAAACCACATGTGGAACAGTTAAGTAAACTCCCATGTATCATACAATATACCTGTGAGATTGAAGTGCTGGTCCAGCATTCCGCAACCTGCATCTACATTGTTCCTCATGAACCTAAGGTTTGACCAATGGATAAGACCCCTTTTGGAGACCGGATTGGGGCCACAAACCCTGTCTGCCAATCCAAAGACACTGTTCCCAATGTCCACACAATGTTGAAGAGGTGTGTCAGCTAAGACAACTCAACAATATCAATAGCTTTCAAGAACTTGGGGTGAATTTCATCCACCCCCAGAGCCTTACCGCTGAAGAGCTTTTTGATTACTTAAGTGACCTCAGCCCTAGAGATGGGCAAGTCCTCCCTTGAATCTTCCAGTTCTACTTCCTCCAAGGGAGGTGTATCAGTGGGAATCAAGAGGTTCTCAAAATATTCTTTCCACAACCTGACTATATCCCCAGTTGAGATCAACAATTCTCCAAACCTGCTATAAACAGCATGGGTGAAGCCCTGCTCCTCCTTTCTGAATTACCTGATGTTTTGCCAGAATCTTTTCAAGGCCAACCAAAAGTCCTTCTCCATGGTCTCACCAAACACCTGAGTTTCTGCTTCAACAGCTGCCAAAGCTGCATTCCACTTAGCCTGCCAGTACCTGTCAGCTTCTTCAAGAGTCCCACAAGCTAACCAAGTTTGGAATATCTCCTTCTTCAACCTGACATCGTCCTTTACTGCTGGTGTCCACCATCGGGTTTGGGGATTGCTATCATGACAGGTGCCATCAACCTTACGGTCACAGCTCCGCACAGCTGCTCCTGCAATGGAGTCTCAGAACCTTACGCATTCAGCTTCAATGTCCTCTGACTCCCTTAGAATGCAGGAGAAGGCCTGTCAGAGGTACGAGTTGTAGATCTCCTGGACAGGGTCCCATGCCAGACACTCCCAGCACAGCCTCACTGTGTTTGGGTCTACCAGGTCTATCCAGCATCTTCCCCCGCCATCAGATTCAGCTCACCACCAGGTGTCCAAAACATGCGGACGCAGATTCGACGATACAATTACAAAATAGATAATCAAACTGCGGCCTGGGGTGCTCTGGTGCCAAGTGAACTTATGAACATCCCTATGCTTGAGTTTATGGACAAACTGTGGTTACCACAGAAGTCCAATAACAGCACTGCTCGGCTTCAGATTGGGAAGGCCGTTCCTCCCAATAACACCCTTCCAGGTTTCACTGTCTCTACCCATGTGATATCAAAGTCCCCCAGCAGAACAATGGAGTCTCCAGAAGGGGCGCCTTCCAGCACCCCATACAAGGTCTCCAAGAAGGCCGTATACCCTGAACCAGTGTTTGGTGCCTATGAATAGACAACAGTAAGAGCCCGACCCCCAGCACAGAGTTGAAGGAAGGCAACCCTCTCTTTCATCAGGGTAAACTCCAATGTACTGGCGCTTAACCAGGGGGCGCTATATGTAGAACCACACCTGCCCAGTGCCTTTCTCTACGGGCAACTCCAGAGTGGAATAGAGTCAAGCCCCATTCCAAGAGCTTGGTTCCAGGGCCTAAGCCATGAATTGGGATGAACCCAACTATTTGTCTCTACCTATTGCAATTCTGGCTCCTTTCCCACCAGAGAGGCTACGTACATTCCATTTACCTATAGGCAGATTTGGTCACCGACAATCGGTCCGCGAAGCCCCTGCCTTCGACTCCCATCTGATCTACACTGTACCCGACCTCCACAGCCCCTCCTGCAGATGGTGGGCCCACAGGACAGTGGACCCATGTGATCCTTTTGGACTATGCCCAGCCGGGACCCAGAGGTAGAGGCCTGCACACCAGGCACTCGTCCATGAGCTTTCCCCCAAGGCCTGGCTCTAGGGCGGGACTCCAGTCTCCCCAGTCTGGGCGGGGTTACATCTTCCTTTATGGTAATCCACATGGGGGTGTTCTGAATTGCACTTAGTGCGGCCGCTTACCTAGGACCAATTTGCCTTGGGAGACCCTACCAGGGGCAATCCCCCCAGACAACATAACTACATAACTCCTATTATCAGAGAGGGGCACAAAACCTCTCCACCATGATAAGGTGGCAATTCACAGAGGGTCAAAAATCCATAAATTTAAAATTTAGACATAATCCTAATAAAATCCATTTTCATGATATTTTAAAAATTAGTTATTTTTATGACTACACTTAAATGCACTCATGAAAAATACATTTTAAAATTTCTCATTCTTTTTCTTACACCATTTGACACTTTCAGGTGCATTCAGTCTTACCTTTTGTAAAAAATGGTGCAAATTCATTTCAAATGACATGAAATACATGAATATGGAATCTACATTTAAAAAAACCTGATGCATGCTTTTAAAATAAATCTTTAAAAGACTTTGCCATCTTGTCAACCCTTATTTGTCAGTGACTCATATATAAAATCGTTTTGTATGATTGGGGTCATAAGAGGAGTCATGGTTTACACACAGCGGCAAACCTTATCATTGTCCAATGATGTGTTTTGAATCAGTGTGTGACAGGGGAGGGGGCCAATCAGCTTTCCAATAGGGCCATGCAGCTGTGGCACCGCCCCAGTATATCTCCCTGCTTAATATAAATTTTATATAACTATATTACGGATGGCTGTTTGTGAGTGGCAGCTGTCCTGTGTGAGGTACGATGTGAAGGTGTAGACAGACATGGATATGCCAGAGCAACTGAACACAGTAATGTGGGGGCATCTCAAATATAACAGGTTTCTATTTTGGGTGGCATATGGCCAGGCTTTGATACACTGTAGCCCAGTGCTTGTGACCCACCAGCGGGAATATCACGTGTTTGAATGTGGGACACTGGGAGAGAGAAAGCTTATAGGGAAAGATGGGAGGAGTAACAGGAACTAGAGAGGGAGCAGCTCGGGGGGGGGGGGTCTCCCGGAAGCCCAGGTCCTTATATAAACAGTGAACCCACAGAAAAGTGGAATGCATTTTGCACACAGGAGACGTGCACACTCTTGTACACACAGCTGTTCTCAGACTGCTGGAGCATTAGTGGGTGTTTCCCACATTCTCTTGTATTGACTGGCTAGGTTTAAAGCCCAACCACAGATTTTTGCCCAATAGAAATTGAGCAGGAATTCTATTTTTTTTTTATATATTATTATTTATTTGAACACAACGGAGGTGCTTGCAGTTGTAAACACAAACACGCACAGTCTCGTTATATTATTAGCCCTCATGTGGCTCTGATACCTCACACAGCGAGCATATAGAGCAGAAGTTAGGAACAAGGACCTGACAACAGATGTTCTACATGTAATCATGCCATCTCTATTTCCTGGGAAGGTTTACTTGACTGCGAATCTATTTTTAATTTATTATAATGGTTATCATCCATTCATTGCATTGTAATTCTCTTAATTGTCCAATTCGATTTTTTGAATTATGCTGTTCAATATTTGTGCTCATTGGCTTGCCACAGAAACATATGGTCTCCCTTCAAAAATTCAGATTTCGTTTTGCAGTTAATTCTTGTACAAGCTTCTAATTCACAAGCTAAAAGAATGATTAATCTACGCCCATATTACAGCATGGACATATCTGTCCTTGATGACTGTTAAACCAGGATTGAAGATCTCTCTGCTGAATCATTTGAATTATGTATTTAGAAAAATAGTGAATGTGTCCCTACAATTGCAGATGAATCATTGTTTCTGTGGTTCCTCCCTTTCCTTCCACTCAGGGAGTGAAGAAGCCCTTCTCTGAGGTCATCAGAGCCAACATTGGTGATGCCCATGCCATGGGCCAACGACCAATCACCTTCTTTCGTCAGGTGAGCTCCCTGAATTAGGCTGTCATGGTCCACTTTTGCTTGCAGCATTTTGTGGGAATTCCGTTCCTGGATTCCATGAAGATCTGGTCTTTCTCTTCAAGGTCGTGGCCCTCTGCTCCTACTCAAAGCTCTTGGAGGACGACAAGTTTCCGGAAGATGCCAAGAACAGAGCACGCCGTATCCTACAGGCCTGCAATGGGGGTAGTATTGGTGAGTGTGTGTGAGAGAGAGCGAGAGATGGCAGCAGACTTCTGTTCATAGGTCACAGTAGGGATTTCTCCCAGGGGGTGCAAGGTGAAAGAGCCCAATCAGTCATTCTTTACAGGCTACGCCAAACTTTATCATGATAAACAAATTTGTAATAAATACAGTTACAATAAATCATTACACATTAATAGGACTAACACAAGGCACATTTTCAAATATAACTTTGGTTTAACTTCATTGAACTTAATATGCTTATTTAGCATTTTCCTCTGACCAGTAGGGGGTGCAATTGCTACTTTTTCCTTCCTGGTAAAATTGGCTATAATTGTCAAATCTCAGGCCACTAGTACTGTCGTACTTTGAACAAGATACCTCAATAACTTATCAATATTTAAGACTGTTTGAATAGGTATTGTGTTTCTTAATGTTGGTTTACTTAGAAATCTAAATAGAAATACACTCATTGACCACTTAACTGGCTATAACCACTAGTTATGCTAAAACGTCCGGTTCTTATAAACAGAGAATCATGTGACTGCAAATAAATTTTCAACACAGAGACAGGGTCAAGAGGTTCAGTTACTGTGCAGCTAAGCGTGATAACAGCTAAGACAGGTGACCCACATGATATTTAAATGTGTGATGTAATATGTGGTGGTTCCAGCATTTTTAAAATGACCCTCCTGCTGAGATTTTAACATACAATTGGGTCTAAAGGTTGCAGAGAATGGAGTGCTAGATAAATAAAATCCAGTCAGGTGCAGTTCTGTGGGAGAAAATGCCTTGTTAATGAGAGATGTCAGAGGAGAGTGGCCAGACTCATTAGAATGAGCAGGAAGGCCGCAAGTGCAAAAATAATAGCTTAGTGCAGTGGTTCCCAAACTTTCTCTGCAGGGCCCCCCTTTTCTAGATAGGAACATTATTGAGCCGCCCCCCCCCATTCAAACTTTATTTGAAATACAACTCCCTTTTCTAATTGAGCGAAACAAATGCAATTACAAAATACAAATGGTGCAATTTCACCACTGTGGGAGAAAAAAGAAACAAACAATTTAAAATAAAAGTCCAGCATAAGTTTGAAGTTATGCTAATGTAGATTTAACATTCCCGTTTATTCATTGGCGTACACAAATTAAAGTTTGTCTTACGATTACCGCATTTTGTCAGCGGTTATAGCACAAAGTGTACTGTACTGTTACGTTTTCCATGGCAGTGTCTCGTGACTACACTGGCACTGTCACAGGACAGTGCTGCACTGTACTGTTACGCCTGGCTACACTGGCACTGTCACAGG